ATCACTTATTTCTAATTATACATCGCTTACGGCAGAATATGAAAGAGCGTTTAAACTTTTCAAGAGAGAGAGAGAGAGAGAGAGGAGAGAGAGAGATAGAGAGAGAGATAGTGAGAGTTTAAATAAATGAACTCTCATTTGCAAATAACATTTAATTGCTATATTAAAGCAAGAGGAACAGAGTTATCTCAACCCCAGGGAATCGTTAAAAGTGTTATTGGCATAAAATATGAGATGTCTAGTACAGATAGTGAACAATGAATTAGCTCAGATTTAGTTTATGAAATATTGGAATATTTAAAGCTGAATTATGAGCAAGTTTATCTTGAACTCTATAAGTCGAATTGAACACAGAAATTTAATCACAATTCATTTTAATATATAATTCATATAGAATTCAAAAAGAAGTCCCTTCTCTCTTTCAAGATATATATTTGGGGGAAATATTTCCTATGAAACAATAACAAATAATAACAATAATGTGAGTTGATTTCAGGACGATTACAAATTCACAGATTTGTTAAAATACAATATCGAGCAATATGTTTCAATTAGGAACATATCTGTGTTGTTTAAAAATGTATTCGTATGTAAAATACAAATTGTTTTCAGTCGTATTATTTATTTGCATAGATAAATTGAAAGAACTGACGATCTATCAGGGGTATCTGAAACATCCATCCATTGCATCAATCAGATCTAATCTGTAGCATAAACAGACCAGAACATTCAATGTTTCCGTTTATCTGATTTATCAAGGATTTCCCTCAATAAAAATTGTCTAATGACTTTTTTAAACATGATTTCAAATCACATCACTTAACGCCAAGAAGAGTCAATATTGAGTAAGTGAAATGTACAAATAAAATAAATACACTTTGGCAACACGAGGCAATTCTGGCATAATTCATTTAAATATGGACTAATCACGAAAGCAACACAACTCAACAGATTAATGCAATAAAATATTGGCGAGGATGTGAAAGTGACCGACATTTTTATAAATCTTTATTTAAAATACATTTCAAAAAGTTCAAATATTACCCTTTGCATTCGTTTGACTTCACCTCTTAAAAGAGAGCTTCGTCTTCTGTAGTTTACTAGACTCGCAGGGTATTCAAATATAATTGTAATTATATTCAAAATCCATAAATGATATTATAAAAGATTATGTTTAGAGTGCTTAAAGGGACCCAACACCATGGTCACATGATCAGTCGTGTGGAGGTAAGCTCCCAGTTGAAATAAAATCACTGTCCTCCTTTGGTTTCTGTGAAAAGTAGCTAATACCCTCATGTATTGGTCAGTTTGTGTGTCACACGACTAATCCCCACCATATGCTTCATTCAACATATTTTATGCTATTGAGCTGCATATATAAACAGTACTTTGCAACTAAGGTCATACAGTATACTTACCCCTTGCAAATTGTAATTTATTGAATTCACAGTAAACCCATCAATTTTTAAGTAAACAAAGAATATTGTTCTCATGGATCTATTATTTATGTTAGACTAACTATGAAAATATAAATATGAAATAATATGTTAGCTTGAAGTCATATATAAGATGAAAATATATGTTCATGCATTTGCATTTTTCCAAAGGGAATATTCCCATGTAAGTAAATACAGGTGCAATATATAATTTATATGTATATCTATGTCATCTGTCTATACATGCGCGTATAGCCTAGTGTTACATGTGAACAAGATGGTTCTGGAAAGAAATGAGCGTGGCAGATTTGCTAAAATGCCACATACACCACAAAAGCAAGACCAATTTGAAAGTAAGTTCATTATTCTCAAGGGTACACTTCAAGTGAAAGCTACATTGCTACAGGGTGGCCTATCATTCTGAGACAAATGTATTATCCAACGATTGTGATTTTCGAAGCTAAAATATGATATCTTGAGCAGATGGAAATACATTCCCATGAGATATGTATATATAGTCAAAAGTGATAACTATTTATTGAGTGTAATGAAATGTATCCTTCGCTAACTGCTTTTGTTTGAGATAATTATCATGAAATGTTTTTAAATCAATTTTTATGTGTGTCATTGATCCTAATCCACCCTGTAGTCTGGTGTTTGTAGAGCATTGCGACTCGTACAACTTATTCTCACAAATATCAAACCTCATTTACTAATTAATTTTTTGTGTGAATATGAAGAGTCCAAGCATTGCTTTTTTATGTTTATTGTATAGCTATATTTAGCCTTGATATCCATGATTTTTTAAAACAAAATCTCACCGTTAGATTTCGGGCTATTCATGTTTACTCATTTGTCTAATTGGAAAACAATGCAAATCTCATTTTTTCAAAGGAAAAAAATTGAAATTATAAGACGGTGAAAAATCATTAAAAAATACACAGATTCAGAATCCGACAAGCATTTTCCCTTATTCCTCTCCGTTAAGAAGTTTTGCAAGGTGTTGGATTCCTTTAAACTGGTGTCAATCATTCTCTAACACACTGTATGTTTACTTTAATACAGATTCAATGTAATGGAGAATTTCTGTAAAAATGGTGACCTTATTCTACAGAAATAAAAATTGTTCATAGGACGATACAATAATTAGAAACCCTAATTGTTGGGACAATTTCAGTTGTCGGCGACGGGTAATTTAGTCCTAAACAGTTTTCATATAGCTTTTGAAATCTCGTTTTCGTGAGATTTTAAGAGATTTGCATATTAGACCTCTAATGACTTACTTTGCCTTCTCTTAAATGGCATATTTGAATCCAGTGAACTGTTTTCTACAAGCATAACTTCATACAGTTATGTTATTTAAAAAATAATTGGGCCAAATCTCAATTGATGCAATTCTCTAAAAACCGTGGTTTATTAGTTTAGCAACACAAGTTTTGATGATAAATCAGAAACCGTATGTTAAAAAGGCTATCACATGATATATCAATCAAGTTCTAAACAGATTCAACCAACACATTTTGATAAATCATGAAATAAAGTCACTTTTCGAAGATCTTAATATGTAAGTCAATGGAAGTCTAGCCCAAGAAAAATCTAAATTAAAAATTAAAGAGGCCAGCACTGGTTTTCCTTTATTTTACAGCTCTTATTGAACAGGATAGTCCCATCCGTGATATATCCAAACAACCGATTTCACAAGTTGAAGACATGATCTATATACTCCGTTTGTATATAAACATTAAATTGATTAAATTTGCATACACTATCAAACTGAAACGATGGATATAGGTATGAAAATGTCATACTTTACTGAGCAAATTCAATAAACAACTTGTAAGATTATTTGGCATCTTTATGCATCATAACTAAATTTCCCCAAGACGTTACATTAATCTAGCCGTTCACCCTTTGAACGGTATATGCAATTTAGGGACACATTACCTCATTTGTTTCGCTTTGATCAGCTGCGATGAAATGTATTTGTGTAAAACGATTATCCTATATGAGGTTCAGGATATTGGGATTATGCCGAGGCCAATATAATATATTTGCCCGAGGGCCGTAGTCGTAGATATGTAATATTGGCCAAGGAATTCTGGTTCACATTGTTCAATTGTCCACAGTGCAGAAAATTTCAAACCAATCGTTGAAATATTTTAGAATATACAGATCCAGTTTCGTGCCTGCTGACGAAAATATAATTTTTTACAAACCTGCTTTATTTACTTTAAGTCCAAGTATGGGATAAAAAGCATACCTTCCCAAGCTCTTACAACTGTCAGAAAGCCTGTACATTCAAAGGGATTTCAAACACCAATGAATTGTACAAATATTGGTGTTTATATTGTCCTTTTATTTGTAACAAATCTCTAGGACACCTCGTAGTATATTCTTTGAGATGCAAACAATAATATTGCCCCCGTTGATTTAATCAAAAAGGGTATATGACAGTAAACGGTAAGGGATATTAATGGAATTGGGTGCTCGATTTACGGTTCAAATAAACGAATGGAAAACACATCCTATATTTCGAGAGGATAAGAAACTAAATATAGCGTGGGAAATAATCCCTTGTATTTCAATTAGGGATCATTAGCTTACTAAATGTAATTATAACATGTAAGTCATTTGGCTGTGTCGATCCACTAGGGAAATTCAATTAGGTTAATGTAATCTCTCTGATCATGTACCAATTGTCAAGTAATTTAGCCAATGTAATCTATAAATTATATATGCGAAAGGAAATCACTGCTGTTAAAATCAGATCAGAACTGCGTTTATAGAATTTAAAAGTACAACACGGTACAGTTTCAAATTCAAATCGTATTTGAGGACAAACATGATTTATTTAGTGGGAGCGATGTAACGTCTATGTTATGTTCCAATACACTTACCCCCTCTTGTAAAGGTAGTTTGTCCTCATCTGCTAGTAAACATGCATTGCACATGTGTACGTTTTGGGGGTTTAGAGAATATTTAAATTAACATAACACAAAAGATAAATCATTCAACGATATACATTAGACATGATGGTTTATGTAAATGTGTCCTCCGTTAGAATCAGATATGACAGCCATTATATACTAATTCAGTTTTCCAAGAACTAGACTAGAAAAGGCCAGCTGATGCTAGTTATTTAGAACGGCACATCTCAGGGTACAACTCATAATTATCAAGATAGATACAAAATATGACAGCATTATGTATTGCTAATTCGATAAATAACACACGCTGGTAGTTTGCATTGTTTACGAATATTTAATTGATTTCCGAAATGTCAGACAATAAAACATAGTCAGCCCATAACGATCTACTCAATGTTTAAGTAAATTTACACACATGGGTCAATGGACGTTTTGTTATATTGAACGAATCCTCTATGACTATTTATTATTTACCATAAGAGTGGCCACATGCCGTTTGGGTCGATGATCAATCGTAGCCACAAGCAGGTTTTATCTACCCGTGGTTTTGTTCTAATTAGGAAGGACTTCAATAATATTGACTACTTTCCTGGTAAGTATGATTTACTTCAATTCATACCCTTGACTAACTGCTCGTGGAGGAACAACTTGAAGAGCTTGATACACAACTATCCGAGTTTTCTGGGAATGCCCGTGAGTATATATTGTAAGCCGCTTGTATTTTGTTAGACAAGCTATGCATTTTGTATTTTGGAAATTTCATTAAAAAAACGTTGAATAGCAGGTGATTTAGTTTAACGTTCATAACTGTAGTCTTTTATTGATTTTATTTGTTAATATAATCTAACTTAGATCAAAGAATGCATACTAGTATATCATTGTCATTCCTGAATTCTACGAAAATAAATGTTTTCACATTCTACGATTTCTTGAGATAAGATAATCTGAAAATAAATTATTACAAGGCCTAATTTGTTAAGTTCAATTAAATACTAAATGCATTTATTTGCTTCATTTGCCTGCTTTCTTTAAAGACTTTCATTCTTTTACAATGTTCATTTTGTGATATAAGGAGATAAAGTGAAGTATTACCATCTTAAATAGGATAATTTCCCAGGATTCCTCGCCGATCTCCTAGCGAGTGAGTGGTCGGTTTTGACACACCCTTCAACATGATTCTCCAGCCAACAGGGTGAAAATTTCATGATTTCCATGTGATAACAGCGCGATGGTTTGATTTCAATGTCATGATTAAAAAAATTAAATCACCATTATTCACTTCTGAATTTCTTCCACGAGCTTTGGTCTTTAACAAAAGTATCTAAACCAACCTAGAAGTGATCAATTAGTATAGATTGCTTTAATAAATGAATGTAGTTGAACAGTATTTGCAAAGACAATGACGTCAACAAATTTTTGGTCGTTGCCTTGAACGCACTGGACGAACGATCGACCAGGGATCGGGAACGAATCTTAGTTGCCAATCGTTCACCCTTGTCCCTTCAATTCAGATAACAAATCTAGGTATGAAGTTTGATCTCCGAAATACTGTTAAGTAACACCCATTTGATATTTTGTGTAACTGTCACAATGACACTTAAATGCTAAAGCTTTCAATCCCCAATGTGGTAATTACTACCAGGTTTATTGTTTTGTCAAGTTGTCTAAAGCAGTCATGGGAGATACTATCTAATCAGTTATATTGTAATAGCAAACATATCGTGACAACACTACAAATGTGTTGCAACAAAAAAGGAAAATGAAAGCTGCATACAGAATGAATGATGGGGCATAGGGTTTGATGGTATTTTATATACGTTAGATTATTATTTTGGATATTGGGGGATTTTTCCTTCTGGTCAGTTGGACTCCTTTTTTATTTTTATTCATTCTTCAGGTCTTTCCCTTTTTGACTTGCAATTCGAAGTACTATTTCTTGGATGGTCATTTTCGGTTTTGTATTTTTTAATTTTAACGTGATATGTAACTATTCATATATCGATTAGATTTGTCTGCAGTTGATGGGCATACCAATGTGTAAAATACACCAGGCGAATCATGCTTGATCATAACGTCATCAAAATATAGTCAAAGAATTGCTGACGTCATTGTGACAGTCAATCGTCTTTTGTGCTACACTGCTTTTGGATAGTTTGCCAAGTGTTCATTCTTTAAAAACAATAGAAAAAGAGTGCAATAGAAAAAGAATGCACTCTTGTTACAACTGTATATTTTTAAAAATAAACTACAGTTCATCCTGTTGTGTTACCTTTTGCTACCTAAGTGGAGTTTACATGTAAGTACATATATTTCACGGACAGTCGATATAAGGAGAATATATATGGAGAATATCTTTTGAAAGGGGTGTGACAAGAATAATTTTCAGAAGTACGTCAGTTTAAACATTTAAAGCTTGACAGGGTCAGCTAGACATAACTCAACTTGTTAGTATGCTTATCACGCATAGCATACGATTGATTGCTTCTTACATCATTGTGTGAAATGTGCCTCTTGACAACAATAAATTTCCCAGATTCAACAGTAAGACTCTAGAGACTTTTAGAATTCATGTGAAATATTGGTGTGTTAGTAGCCATAGATTAAGGTTATTCTACCATTGTAAACTATTGCTGTGCTGGTAGATTAATGTTATTCCACCCATTGCAAAGTATTGCTATGCTGTTAGATAAATGTTATTGTATCCATTGTAAAATAATGCTGTGCTGGTAGATTAATGCTGTTCTACCCATTGCAAAGTATTTCTACGGTGTTAGATAAATGTTATTGTTTCCATTGTAAAATATTGCTGTGCTGGTAGATTAATGCTGTTCTACGTACCCATTGCAAATATACAGCCGTTATTGTTCTTGGACTGTTATTCTATCCACTTAAATATATTGCTCTGCTGGTAGGTTAGTGTTATTTTATTCATTTTGTTGTCTCTAGATTAAGCAACGATCTTGGATTTTCATGATTGTCGAATAATATATACTGTGGACATACTGTTTAGTGCTCGCAATATTTAAGGCACGTAAAAAGGTAAAGGGGGTATTAATGACATTATATTAATGCCTCTATGTTTCTAATAATGATTAAAATATCTTTGATGGATACTTTACAATATCGCTTGCTTAAGCCAGACTGATTAATTACTTGTCAAAATCAACATTTGATGAATGTAAACTACAGACTAATATCCAGAGGAAAAATATCAACAATTCACTATATATTGATATACAATATTGTATTGGGTTTAAAACATGACTTCAAAGTTATGGGTTAACCTCTAAAAAGTAAAGCACTGGGAACGAGCAAGCATTATCCTTGCTAGTAACATTCCAGAGAACTTAAAGGAAATGTGCCCCCTAACAGATTCTTCAGATGCTATCCTTCATATTGAATTAAATGAAAAGCCTATTGAATCAAAGGTTACATAGGGTCATACGTGAATAGTCAATACAATTGATTGTATACGAGAGTCTTTATGGGAAGAAGTGGAAACATAATATCTCATCAATTAGGCCATCTTATTATTCGCAAGTCTAGCTTGCAATGCAATTATGCTTATGGTGATTGAATTATTAAAGATTCAATTGAGTAATCGCTTGTATAACTTCTAAACCAACCAAATTTCAAAGCTCACAACAACAATTCCATGTGATAAACATAAAGAAATTTGAAGACCATTGTATGACAATATATGAGAGTGGTAAAGCATGTTGGATGCTTCAGATCTCAGGATCTTGAAAGTAAGACCGAATTAGTATTGCAATCATGTCTCGACGCAGTCATCTCATCGATGTAATTAGGTGATAACATGAGTTTAGAGACACTAGTAAAATCTGTATGTTCAGTCTCAATGTTCTCACTTTATTTACATCCGATCAAGTCATTTTGATTCTTATAAAAAAAACTGAAAAATAATAAGAAGAATGCACTGTTGACTGGATCACGAAAGGGTCATGGGTCATGTTGTTACATTGGTGTCAGCGATGGGATATGGATTTGAGTTTTACAAAATCAAAAGATCAGGATTTGTTGTTGGATCAAAATCATGGTCATGATCATAGTTCAAATCTCCGGGGAAAGATCAATCTATTTACTCGTTTGAGGATCGGTTGTAATATCAGGGTTGATCTAGTATCATGACATGTTTTTTTCTTTTTGTTCAATAGGTTGATCTCCTAAAAAGTGCTGTATTTTCACAAGGTCAAACAATCTGCTAATGAAAAGAAATCGTGCCAACAACTAGTAAAACAGATATCAATTTTAAAGCTCCTTTAAATAGAAAACCAATTTATAGGGACAATAAACCTATCATTTTCGAGGAGGACTGCGCATGACTGTTGATGATAAATAAATGGTTGGACAGTCACTTCTGATTGTTTCGGGATACGGCTCCTGTACAACACAGTGTATATAATTTCTTTGGAAGATAGCTTGACACCTATTATTGAACATTTTGTTATATTTTATACTTTGATTACATATTCTTGATCAGTTATTCCCCTCATACTTTTGCCGATTTTCTTTGAAATTATTATGTGTTAATAACGTTGGTAGTTTAGTTTAGCCGTTAACCATTCCTTATTTCAACAACATTTTCATTAATTTTCGAATGCCAAAATGACTTACTTTGACAATTCATCTTGATCAGACTAAGCTGTGTTCACTTTTCAGTTTCAGTATCAATAACCCCCTCCTACAAGCTGGTTACAACGACATTTACTGGCACAATTGCAAAATGTAAACCTACGGAATCATTATCCAATGGAAAATTGTCAACAGCGTTACAATTTATTTTGGTACGTTTCACTGTTCCCAAGCCAGAGTCACTATCATCAAACTAATTTCTATAAACATTCCCTCGGAGGTATTGTCCCTTACAAAGAGACACCGCAGTTATTTAATATTAACCAAGATAGATGAGCATTTCCAAACTCACAATTATGCTGCTATTTTTTGTCTTCTGTATCATGACATCGTGACCTTCTGTTAGTTCCTGTTAGTTGAAAAGCAGAAATATGTGATTATTGCAGAATGTGTTTGCGGGGCCGCATTGCAATTTAGGTAGTATTCTGAGCAACCTGACCCTACACCTTATATTATAATACTAGTATCAGATACATACTATTACATTTTTTATTTTTCGATGGTGTCTTATGAAACATTGTTTACGTGTATCTTGTATACGATATCTAATATTGAATATGAAATCTGTAGTAATAACATGGATACGAATAATTTCGGGATGTCTTAAAGGCAATGAATGTTGATGTGAGAGAAGCAAAGATGATAACGTGGCAGTTTCCATTAGTCAATGTATAATTCCCGATAGATGATTCCGAATATATGAATAGGGCTCAACGCTGCTAATACAGAAGCTATTTTTCGGAAATTACACATTAAGCATGTAGAAAATAAATCAAATGTGATTGAACTGGAAATGAATCTCAGGAAGATGCTGTACTAAAAAACTACTCTTCTCATATCTCGCATTAGGTGTTTATGAAGAACCCACTTTGCAGATATAATTTGGTTTATCATTTATGGATATGTTGATTGTTTTCACACCTGTTTTTTCTCAGTCAGAGGTTCATTGAATAATCGTTAGATATTTGTAAGGTACTTTCAAAATGTATTATACAATCCAAACAGACAAATATAGTATCTTATGGATTTGTAAGCGTCAGATAGTAGAGTGCGAACTACTCAAGGTTCTCATCGTATTATGTCCAATGTTGTTTCATGTCCGCAGTCAAAGCTTGTTTTCATGGACTAACGATTCAGTTGCTATATTCCAGCTGCATTTTTTATTATATAAAGTTACGTATGCGTCGCCAAATTATTTCTCTAAAACACGAGCTTTCAAGGTGTTCCAAATTCTCTACGAATCATGCATCGAGCAATTCCAAATTCTCTCACACACACGAATCTTAGCACCGAGCAATTTCAAGGTGTTCCTAATTCTCTCCCACACACGAATTTTAGCACCGAGCAATTGCAAGGTATTCCAAATTCTCTCCCACACACGAATCTTAGCACCGAGCAATTTCAAGGTGTTCAAAATTCTCTAACACACACGAGTCTTGCACCGAGCAATTGCAAGGTGTTCAAAATTCTCTCTCACACACGAAACTTTGCACCGAGCAATTGCAAGGTGTTCAAAATTCTCTCACACAACACACGAGTCTTGCACCGAGCAATTGCAAGGTGTTCCAAATTCTCTCCCACACAGGAATCTTAGCACCGAGCAATTGCAAGGTATTTCAAATTCTCTTCCACACACGAATCTAAGCACCGAGCAATTGCAAGGTGTTCCAAATTCTCTCCCACACACGAATCCTAGCACCGAGCAATTGCAAGGTGTTCCAAATTCTCTCCTACACACGAATCTTAGCACCGAGCAATTGCAAGGTGTTCCAAATTCTCTCCCACACACGAATCCTAGCACCGAGCAATTTCAAGGTGTTCAAAATTCTCTCACACACACGAGTCTTGCACCGAGCAATTGCAAGGTGTTCAAAATTCTCTCTCACACACGAGACTTTGCACCGAGCAATTGCAAGGTGTTCAAAACTCTCTCATACACACGAGTCTTGCACCGAGCAATTGCAAGGTGTTCCAAATTCTCTCCCACACACGAATCTTAGCACCGAGCAATTGCAAGGTGTTCCAAATTCTCTCCCACACACGAATTTTAGCACCGAGCAATTGTAAGGTGTTCAAAATTCTCTCACACACACGAGTCTTGCACCGAGCAATTCCAATGTGTTCAAAATTCTCTCTCACACACGAGACTTTGCACTGAGCAATTGCTAGGTGTTCCAAATTCTCTCCCACACACGAATCTTAGCACTGAGCAATTTCAAGGTGTTCAAAATTCTCTCTCACACACGAGTCTTGCACCGAGCAATTGCAAGGTGTTCCAAATCCTCTCACACACACGAGTCTTGCACCGAGCAATTTCAAAGTGTTCAAAATTCTCTCACACACACGAGTCTTGCACCGAGCAATTGCAAGGTGTTCAAAATTCTCTCTCACACACGAGACTTTGCACCGAGCAATTGCTAGGTGTTCCAAATTCTCTCCCACACACGAATCTTAGCACTGAGCAATTTCAAGGTGTTTAAAATTCTCTCTCACACAGGAGTCTTGCATCGAGCAAGGTGTTCCAAATTCTCTCGCATACACAATTTTTGCACCGAGGTGTTCCAGCTCTCTTTCAAACACTCAAATTGCGTTTAGAATTGTGTTCCATTCTCTAAAATGCGAGTCCTTCTTTAGCAACCTTGTCTTCTGGTTCTTAATGGTGGAGGATCGTAATATTGTAATTTACCGCGTTAGATTATTTTGATTCACAATGCTTCGAATATTGAATGGGTCGTTTCTGCTTTTCAATACTCGTTTGTCTATCTGTTTTATTGATATTTACGTTTTTTGCATTTTGGCCGCTTTGCTTACATATTATTTTGTTTTTCAAAGTTCCCGTGTTGCATACATTTCTCTTCTCTTTAAAAAAACATATGATATTCACCAATTTCCTCTCAAACATGCATATAACAAATCTGAAACTATGTTTGAATATTTTCTCATTATCTTCCAGCTTTGCATCACTCCAGGGCTCACCACCAACTCCCTTTATATTTAGTCTAACATTAACCTTATCTCTTTCATTAACTTAAGAACAAGGAAAATGAGGTATTAGGGTGACTTGACTTTATATTTGACGACAGGCACTTTCTGGAATACATAAATATATATTTTGCTTGATGTACAAGAAATTTGCGTTTTGATAGTTTTGCTGATCTAATGGGACCTATGAATACCTCTGAGATCAATTAGGCAGGTCTATATGTTGCTCACCATCAAATGTCACATTCTTCTGGAAACAGGAACATAGATCATTAATTAGGCATCGTTCAGCAGGAACGATAAATCGTGGAGTGGAAAATAAGTCAAAATGTCTTATGTGCTTCTGATAGGAACAAGTATAAACTGCACGCAGGAATGTTATCAAATCCAGCTGCAGTGAACTAAAATATGAATCTTCAACGTCATTGACGTAAACATCAAGAGTTGTATAACGTCAAGAGTTTTGAATTTTCTTTAATTTTAATTTGTAACTGTATTGTTTTGATAAGTCAATTAGAATTCAAATTCCTTATGAAGGCTTCGACTGATTATGCTTTGTAAATTCTTGCTTCATTTCCATCCGTATATGTGTAATAAGATACCGTTACATTGACAGACAGCATGATTTATAATACTTTATTTGTTCTCATTAGCAGTGTATTTCTGTTTAGGTAGGACCAGTTGGTACCATCCATATTGATGCTATGAGAACCACTAGGCCAAAAAAGAAAAGCAGTTAAACATGTTAAACATTACAACGAAACGTCAACTACTATATTCAATAAGTTCTCATTACACATATAATTACATCGTTTCTTGAAATGGAAACGTCAAAAAGCATTACGGTTCTTCCTAAGACATGTAAAAGTGTTCATTGTAGCATTATTTAAAGATAAACACTGAAACGATTTTGAACCTTATTGGGGTACAAAATGAGTAATAGTAGTAGGTTGTCAGACTTCACCCAAGCGGAGACAATATGATCTCCCATTTTACACATTATGATAAACCATGACATCTCATTTCTTCTCAGCCCTGGAATGCCATGATATAATGAACCCGGGATAATGAGCTAGATTTTGTGATCCAGGAGAGCCCAAAATTGAGGATTTTTGAGACCTTTCCTCCCAGCTCATATTAAATCTAATTTGAGTCATAAGACTTGTGTAGAGTGCCTGTTCTAATATCTGCTGTTAAATACAATGCCTATTGTGTAATGTATTTACATTAAGGTAAATGATAACATGATAATTATTACACTTAATGACAGTTATACCTTTTCCCATCTGATGTGCTTAGATCACAGAATATGCATCATAATATCAGAGCACATCATGATAAACCATGACATCTCATTTCTTCTCAGCCCCGAGATGTCTGAGGTGAAACAGAAAGATGGTATGATTATCAGAATGATCAGAGCATGTTTCAGGTGAAGTAGAAAGATGCTATGAGTATCAGTATGCATTTTACAGAAAAACGGATGTCAGGCTCGTAGCCAGCTTTTGCCACGGACGGGGTGGGTATATTTCCGGGGGGGGCTACATTTGACAACTTTGGCCCCAAACCACTTGAACAGTGCCCAGAATGATGAAAACTGCATGATCATGATTTTTTAAAGAACTCCCGACCCCCTTGCTACGGGTCTGGAATGTAAGTTGGGTTGGAACTGAAAAGGGAATTTGGATTCGATATGACGTACCTCACGTTGAATCTTATCGAGTATCTGGACCAGAATATCAATTATAAATGAGTTTTGGTTTAGTTTGGCATGCGATTTATCAAAAACATCTTGATAATGCTGCCTGGCTTTTATCTTTTTGCATATTTCGATGTACCTGCTACGAAAGGAATCTCATCGATATGTTTTTATATTTCTTATGTTAGTCTTCTGCATATTGGAAATAAATCTTCCTTTGTTCTGGAAAAAAGTAATTTTCGCATTTCAAAAACAGACTCTAGATTTGTAATTGACTGTATCTGGAAAAGTTCGACTTTTTATTACTAATGTCTTTTATTACCCTTATTGAAAACAAAATATAAAATACATGGATAAGAGCCAATTGTGATTTGGCATTACATACAGATTTATTTGGAATTTTCGTTTTTTATTTACTTTTTTTTCAGAGAAAAGATATGTTAAATCAATTTACAATAGAGTTACAAAGAACACTTACATTTCACATATATTGTTTGATTACACTCGATCAGTTTTTAGATATTTTGGCGTTTTCAATGGGAAAATTCGATAGCTTATCGTTTGTTAATTTAAGTTCCATGATTTTCCACTTATCACCCCTGCCTACTCGTTTGTCAATAATATAGTGTCCCTGTACATAACTGCTTATAAAACCTTTGGAAATAATAATATTGTCTTCAAGTAAAAGTAGCCACAGAAAACATAAAAATATCATAATTATTCACAACAAACATTTTGACGTGTTCACTGTTTATGAATGCATGTGTAAACATAAGATGTCTTTCCTTGGATCTGACGTACTCGCTTACCGGTTTGATTTTCAATCTTGATACCTTGTCAATCCAAGATGTGGATCTGGCATATTGATGGGTCTGATATAGAGAGGCCTATTATATGTATGACTGGACACAACAATATCTGCTCTTCAAGGGTGAACGCCTCTAATAAGCTATATGAACTTGAAGAAATCAGAGATCGAGCTTCTCAGCAAAGATAATTCTAATATGTTTGATAATCCGGTTTAATATTGAGTGATGAACTCTACACACTTGATGCTTGGTTGATCAACTATTTAATTAGATTTTATGAACAGCAGACATTATTGCGAATCTTATCCCCTTGTATTTTCTGTGTTCCAGATATAGCCGGTCCTATATGGCCATGTGAAATGACGTTCAAGGCTCTTATGGTAGATATCGCGATTCGCTAACTAGTGAGGCAGATACGCAGTTTCAAACCGGACATAAAAAGACAAGATTCCAAAATGAGATTTTGCTTCAAGCTACTATATCGTTAGACTTACTTTGATATTGTTCTTGACGGAAATGATTTTAATGTTAAAGAAGCAGCTCGAACGTACACCTTTCAGTGTTCTTGAATTATTGGAGTTTAATGAAACACAACAATGAAATACGACAAAGATGCACAATGGTTTGATTATAGACGGCAAGCTCTGTACATGAATCAATAAGGCGTTCAATTTAGCACTGGACTTGCCGCAGAAGTAAACTAAACCAACTAAGTGGATTGCTTTTAGAATTTGGAACCGATTTAGAGACGTTTATCTCATTACTGCTGACTTGACAGAAAATAAGCAATTATGCTCCAACGGCAAGTTATAAGTTAGCATTAACGTGTCTTCGGAAGGATGTTTGTGGCGGGTCTATTTAGCAAGTGTTAGAAATTTGGGACATTATTAACATTGACACAAGTTAGAAGCGAAATATGTGGACGGATTAACATATTATACCAGGTAAATTACTACTAATTACAATTTTTCGGATGCCGGCTATCGGATTTAATCTACTATGTTATGGGCAACGCATACCTGTCACTATTCCATTCATATTTAAATGAGTTGGTTATAAAATAGTAGGTTAATCCGGTAGTCGACAGCCGAAAGCGAATACAAGCTTAGATTAACAAGTATGATATGTATTTTGATATGATGTGATTAGAAATCACGATGTTTCATTGACGTAAACATCGTTTGGCTTAATTTGCAATCTAGTACAGTAGGTTCAAAACTAAATGTGTTTATAATATAATTTTTCACCGTACATTGGTTTATCAGTTATAATATCGAACACAATTTCGCTTTCAAATACACTTGACATTGGCATTAAATAGGCAACGCATCGATTGTCTCTCATTTGATCATGCGTTATTGTACTTTACTGGTAAGGGGCATCTCTTTATGTGTTCAGTACAACGACGAGAGGCAGTTACAAGTTCTGATCAACAATGTCACGGTACGCTAACAAGGTAATGTACACTGAACGCAAATCCTTCATTAATTAATGATGTAACTTTATTGGTTTCCTGCACGCAGTCATTTCTTTACGTCTGTAACATCATGGCCTCATTATTGTATCTTCCGTGTCTGTAACTTTGTAGTCGCATTATCGTATCAGGGTGACCATGTAGAAGTAATTATTGACTCGTGTTTATCGTCCGGGTTACCAAGCATTTATATGGTGTTCTAATTTGGCATATTAGTCAGACAACTATGTCCGGACCAGGAGGTCTTAATACAATTTAGGACAATTTTTATTTTTGGTATGATATTCTCTTTTAACACCATCTCTTTTGAATCAAAATTGGATACATTGTCTTCATTCTAAGAAAACTATCTGTCGGGAACTGGGATTCCTGCATCAACTACGATAGAATAAAAGGTGGGAGGGGATAGCCTAGGATAAGGAGAGTTTGTATAATAAAAATGACACAATATGCTCAATATAATACAATACTGTTTTTATGATACAAAATTGTCAATATGATACAATATACACTGTTCAGATACACACAATAATCAACAGTAAATGATGATATTAGAGTCGAATATATATTTAATCTAAAAGCTAAAATGATTCGATAATTGACAACAGTAATATCACATGGTATATGATATGATTTAATGAACGTGTGTGGGCGAACTAACATTTCAACAGGTGAGCATTAGGGCCATTGAAGCCTACGCAACGTCGGATCATTTTTTCATCGTATAAAATAAATGGAATAGAGTAATTTTTTAATAGTATGAATTGGAACAACCGCGTTTATTCTTTAGGTCATAGGAGATCAAGACAAGGTCTATTAGATTTCTTAGCGATGCAACTATTTGTAATGATATTGCCCTCGTCATAAATAGGTGAAGTACTCAAATTGATTTTCAATTTGTAGAAGAGTAAATCAATCGTTTCCTCCTTAAATGTAGTAAGAGAATGGTGTTAGATGTCGTTATCTCATTGAATGAGCTATAACTATATACGTTTTATGCTGTTAGATGACACAACTAAAAATATCATTCTGTTCAAAAGTGAAGATAAAAATAGAAATTGTTACTCTGGAAGTAATATTTACAGCGGATAGCTCTAATAATAATCCCAAATTGAATTTCAGAAGAGATTTGATAAAGAGAGGAAAAACTTAAAAGGACGTCTATTTTAATGAAATATCCCCCTGGCAAAATCGTGGCAAAAGAGTGCCTCTTACATTAATGTTAAGTGTTTTTTCTTAATCAGCTGATCTGTTTATGTTACAAGGGCGATAACTCAATGACATGTATTAGGCATCCCGGGTCAGTCCTCTTGAGCTATACTAATCTCTGAAAAGAATATCACGGCACACGGACTGTACCGTTACATAATTAAACTGGTTCATTTACAAGAAAACATCCCCTACTCCATAATGAATGTCGATATGGTGATTATCAAATGATAAATGATTTGGTTTGCGGCTTGAAGATTCTTTGTCTACATTTGGGAAATTGCTAGTTATTTGACATATCTGTTATCAATTACATACCTAGATTACTTTGTTCTAAAACACCTCACTAAATATAAGGTGATGGTCGAAATAGTAACAAATCACATAGCGATACATCTCTTGTAAAAACTACTCTATAAAAAATTTAACTCTTAACAAAAATAAAGGATACAATAATAAACGAGTCAATAAAAAAATATTTATATCATAAACATTTCTAGATAGCCAGGTGCAACATTCATCTAATCAAATAACATTATTTGATATTATAAATAGGGTATATATTTAGCATCTGAGACTAACATAAACGTTTGTTAGTCTCAGGTAGCATTTCCCAATTCCCACAGTCTTTTATTTGTCGTATATAGGTAGCATTCTGATACTCATAGCATCTTTCTGTTTCACCTCTCATGGCTGGGAAAAAATGAGATATCATGGTTTATCATCTTATTCAGTTATTATCGCAGATTCTAAATCTTTATTTAATTAATAGATGGCGAAATGTACGTTTTAAGTCTCGGGTCCTCGTCAGGTTTTTGGGATCACTCGCTCTTTTTAAACTTTTTTCTATTACTAATATCTTTTGGCTTGCGCTTGACCAATTAATGTCACAGCTGGATCGACAGTTTCCATTATTGGCCCTCATATATCAAGATCTTCGACTCCGGTTTATTAGCTTGTAAATTAATAGTATCTATTCAGCGGTAAGATATCTACGTCTCCGCTAAGAAATTCTACTTCACGAATGAAACAAATTGCTTAATTACAAGGGACTGGTTGATCTATTAATGCTAAAAATTCAGATAGATAATAAATGGACTATTTGCATTATTAAGATTAATCTGGACATCGAACAGTGCATTTCATGGAAATCTCGTGTAAGATAAACTTTTGATGAATGTTCTTTAAGTGTAACATTTTATACGTGATTGCATGTAATCTTGCCACGTACTACAGTATATACACTTGCTTTTGAGAGCCCATGTCATTAATAACAAAATGTCTGCTTGTATTCGCGAATGCAAGGTTTAGCACGTTCTCAATGACAAGAATCGATTTTAGTTGTTTGGTGGTTATGATTGCGTAATCATCATGGTACTGCTAGTGGTGAGCTATCTTTGGGGTGAAATGTAACAGTATATTTTGGGAAAGAAGCGTTTTTGGGCGCAGTGTATGCAAACCATGATTCCTGAAGAAAAATGCACATGTACGTGACATGTTTTGAGGATGAAATGTTTATAAAGTAAATAAATTGTGATGAAAATTTAATCGAGGTAAAACTTTGAGATGATAACTTTTCTTTGGTAAATGTCATGATATTGAAAAGAAAGAAGAAAATCCTATACCCTCCCACGTGGCTTATATTTCCAATTTCTTTGAAGCTTGGCATTGATAAATCATTTGTGACTCTCTAATCGTTTGACATTTTGCTATAAATCAGAACGATGTTATTTTATATTAGCGCATAAACTAAAGTTTAGTATAGCTTGACAAATAGAAGTTTCGCCCAAGAGCCGTAAGTGATTTGTGATCTTATGTCCCCTTTATAACCTCGCTGATATAGACATCGACTCTAATTTAGATATAAAGATGTTACTAGCGTCCATGTCTCCAGTAAGAGCGAGTACTTCCTTCAGAATGCAACTTAGAATCAGCCGTTGATAAGGAGTGGACACTACAGATAATGGACTTATCATAAAGTCTTATTTGTGATCTGACAACCCTTTCGAATAACATAATCGGACACGAGTAGAGTAGCGAGAACCAACCATTATGGATAAAAGGCCTCGTTCTTTAAAAAAGAAAGTCCGACAAAGCTCACGACTGGACGGTTTTTGCCTTCCAAAAGGACAGACCGCATTACATTCACGACTATTTTGGATAAATGGTACATACTTGCTTCTCCAAAAGGACTTTAAACTCACTACTATTTTGAAAAAAGTTTGGTCCAATAAAGAATACTCACATTTACTCGATCTATGCATTTCATTAAGACCAATTACACTACATACATTACATAGTTCCGAATGTCAAAATAGGTCATCGGAGTTGATTTCATTTACGAAATCAGACATGCCTGATAAATCAAGCAGATACTAATCAGAACGAATGATAGGATGACATGCATCTGAATTGCAAGAATTTTATCACATCAAAGAAAACCATCAACTTTACTGTAAATGCAATTCGAGGTCAAACAATATGACACAAAGGGGAATGTGTAACGAAAACTTCCGCCACACATATGTTTATAAAATCGATAAAATACCAAAAAGTTGTTCTTCATAGAACACTTCTTTTCAATTAGTATTAACATTTTAAAGGAAACACATACATTTTATGCCATCAATTTCGCTTAGCTTGTACATGTCATTGTATTATTATATTATACACTTTTTCATCGTATATGATTTTTGATATGTTTGAAAACAAAGAACTACATGGTTTCATACTTACAAAACAAATTTTCAACCTCCGATCATGATCGAAGTTATATTGTTTAGTCTGGACTATATTGATATTAAAGAAGAAAACGCCGAGCGGATATCTAGGATATCCCTTTGATTCCTTTGACAATGTTTACCCCTCGTAGATTCAAAGAGAGTCGGATAAAAAAACTTCGTAGTACAGCGTATATTTAATAAAAATCTCAATATTTACTATAGTATCTATTTTGCTGTATACAAAGACTTATGTGTAAATATTGAATTATCTTTGCTGAATATGTGACCAAAAGAGAGCCCAATCCAACAATTACATATCTGAAATCAGAGTTTATTTCTCAGTAAACAATAAATGGTGCCATCTTTACGTTATTTTTCTCATTCAAACAATCAAGGAATATTGATAAAATGCGTCTTCCATGCACAAAATCAGAGAAATTGAATCTTGTGTTTATTTTGTTTAAAATTTACACTAGAGAACAGAGAAAATGTACTATTTAAAAAATGTTTGTAGTCATCACGACCCGGTTAGCGATCT